AGCTACAAATAGGCATGACTTTACATGTCAGTGCTTTCCCAAGACTATAGGCTGTTATTTTGTTGCCAGTTGTTATTTTGTTACTTTTGACTAATGCACTGGATTGCATTTAAGAGTTTTTTGTTTTTTTTTACCTTAGTCTTGTATTTGGGGATGCTTCAGCAGTGATGAGTTATGACCAGTGTTGGGTAAGTTACTTAAATTAGTAACTTAGTTACATTACTAGTTACTTCTATCAAAAGTAACTCAGTTACTTCAAGTTACTCGTTACTTTCAGAGTAACTTAGGGAAAGTAACTTTGGTTTTACTCAGAATTCTCTTGTTAATGTGTTGCTTCCGTAACTGGATACCCAGCAAGATTGCCAGTCTTCTAACTTGCTTACTTGCCACAAGTGCACTGTGCCACCTACCAATAGAAAGGAAAAAATAATGTGCACATTTCCACGAGAGAAATCCCACACCTGATTCTATCCTAGCCTGCTTTTTACATCCAACACAAAAACTGCAGTCGTGGTGCTTTCGATTGTACTCAGAACTCGGAAATTCTGCCTTCTGAATAGGAAGATGTAGGTAACACCAGACTGCAGATGAGCTGCATACAGGGCTGGACTGGGACAAAAAAATCGTCCCGGGCATTTTGACTAGAGACCGGCCCACCATTATAGGAAAAATCATAAAGCCTTTGAATGAAAATAAACACTGTTGTGACAGTGATGTACACTGTTCTGATGGTATATATGTATCAATCTATCAATTGTTTGTTGTAAGACTCAGATAATTATTTTTTTAAAAGTGAGACATTTTAAATGAGAATAAGAAAGTATTTCCTTGTGCCCCCCTTTCCCTTTTAATGCCCTACATGGACCCCTGGCAACACTTTGCTAGACCCGCCCCTGCACAGTTACCAGCTGTCAGCTACTTAGAAAAGGATCCTGGTGTTATTTGTCTCTCAGAAACAGTTCATAACTTCCCTTCAACTCATTCATGTCACCTAAAAGGTAAACCTGTTTCTCCATCACAGCTCTGATGATCCAGTAAGGACATCTCCTGGTTTCATCTTCATGTTTCCCTCTCACCAGATAACCAAACCATATCATGACCAGCAGGTTTACAGCTGTGGCTCCAGCAAACATCAGCTGATACTAGAAATTAATATTAAATAAATTCTAACAACAGCTGATCAAGCTTAAACGTGCTGCTGTTGTTTAGCGCGACATCCGCTGGTTTCCTCTTTCTGGCGCAAAGTGGGCGATAAACAAACAAGAGAGAAAAGCCGATCAGCTGATCATTGATCAGTTTCATGATTGAAGTAGAAACAGGAGAGGGAGGGGAGAGGATGAGAGAAGAAGAGGCAGCTGTGCAGCGTAAACACAGAATAACTCCAGCTTTGTGTCTTTTTCATTGTAGCTGAAGTCCGGGACAAACTGTTCCTTTTCACCTCAATACGAAACGCATGATATTTTCTCTGAATACGAGACGATTCCGTTTTTTACAGGACGGTTGGCAACTCTAATAATTAACCTTATGAACAAAATAAAGTTCAACATCAGTAACATAGCACCCACCCAGCTGTATAGAAACTCCGTCATGCTAGCTAGCACGCAGTACGAAAAAGTCAGCATAACGAAAATAAACTCCACCTAAACTTGGTTCATATCTGACCCAGATGGACTGCAGGTTATAACTTCTTACCTGAAGTTCAGTTCACCTGACACTCTCGGACCAGCGGCCGCTTCGGGTCTCTCCTCTTGCCTCCCTTTTCCTTCATCCACCTGCTGGCCTCCACCACTTGCTAATGTTATTGAATCTGTGGAAGCTCCGCGATAGCCACCACACGAAGTAACGAAGACCTATCTAAATCCCAGTAACGAGTAACGCGTTCCCGGTTTTGGCATAATAACTAGTTACCGTGCTCGTTACCACAATAATAACGTAGTTACGTTATTTAATAACGCGCTAGTCCCAACCAGTGTTGGTCAAGTTACTTGAAAAAAGTAATCAGTAACTAATTACTGATTACTTCCCCAAAAAGTAATCCCGTTACTTTACTGATTACTTATTTTCAAAAGTAATTAATTACTTAGTTACTTAGTTACTTTTTAAAAACACGATTTACAACCTGAATAGGTGATAAAGCGATAGATCTTTCAGCCCAATTCTACTTTTTCTACATAATCCATCATACAAAATGTAATCAAATGGAAAAGTCTCTTTTTAAAACTTGTTTTATTAGTTTTAATCTTTTAACTTTATGCATCAAGCAAAAATGTAATTATATGCAACATTCTCTGACTGGAAGAAATTTGTTTAACATTTAAACCTATTTTCTGCACATTCCAGCACATAAAATAAAATATTTTTTGTGTTTACACTCAGTCTTTCAAATAGATGCAAGTAAAACACAGCAGAAAATAAATAAAGTCAAAGACTCAGTGGTCCTTTTGCTCTATTTTCACCTGTAAAGCAGGAGCAGGGTAGGCGGAGGTTTACCCTGGTGCAGGTGTGCCGCAGCGGTCAGTGGAAGGATACGGCAGTTTCTCTGTGAATTTCCCATTACGTCGTAGCGCACTCGGTGCTTGCTTGGAAGTTTAGGGGTTTTTTTCGCTGTAAAAAGAAGTTTTCTTCCCACGCACAACGGACACTAATGTTTTTGTCACTTTTTATGGAATCAAACTTAAAGTAAGGTCAGTACTTAAACGCTGCATGCTCATACTCTCTCCAGTACTCGATATGTGATCCATTGTTGATCTGCACACAGCTGTTGTCACAAACGTCGCACTTGCTTACGTCACTGTCATGAGACATTCTCGCAAAAAAATCACGGTTTTAGTAACGCAGTAACGCAGCGTTCCTACGGGAAAGTAACGGTAATCTAATTACCGTTTTTGCAATAGTAATCCCTTACTTTACTCATTACTCGAAAAAATAATCGGATTACAGTTACTGCCCATCTCTGGTCCCAACACTGATTATGACTGACTAGTTTGAGTCCCACAGTGCTTCAAAAACATGCAAAAACACATACACCAGAAAGCATCCAATGGGTGAACATCTTGTGGAGACATCTTTTTATCGGACATGGTTAGAGAGTTGGTTTGGCCAGTAAGTAATCTTATCATTTGCAAACGTTTGCACATTTAAAACAGCTGAGTTAAAGAAGAATTAGCTGAGATTAGTAGCCAATGATGTTCGAAAGAGGCATAAACAGCAACTGGTTATACCTAGTTTCTGAAGTCCTGTTTTGAAGGCCAAAAATCAGGGGTTTCTGCTGTCGCCATCTTGGTTGGAAAATCCAAGATGTGACGAGGAATGGTGAGTCCTCTACAGAGTTGTGGTTGAGAAGTTGTTAGCCAATATTCAAACCACTCATAACCCTCAATTTTGAAACCGTGTGCTATTTTTGACCGTTTTCATAGTAATAATGATAATAATCAATCATTTAATTTCATAATCTGTTTCACGAGGCTTCACTGATTACCTGAGGTTCACGTTACATCCAATGATTAACTAGCTCATCTGAATTTTTAACATCACATTTATGAATACAAGTTAAATTAATTTATATAGCCCAGAGTCCCAAGTCAAATTTGTTTCAAGTTTTATAACTGGCCAATGGTTCTAGATAATTTACTGCAATAACAGGTAAGGAGGGAGGAAAGATGAAAGAACTAGAGCACAAGGGGGGATGAAAGAGAAGGTCAAACACAGACTGAAGGTGGGCAGATGACAGAAAGAGTTACATCATGGAAACCAGGAACTGAGATCTAGCAGCATTTACTGTATTTACTGCATAAAAGCAGTCTGTTTGTACATGTACATCGACTTGAGTGCCTCATTAAAACACCACAATGTAGAAACTAATGTGTTTCAGTTGGAAGTACACTGTCTAAAAGTCAGTCTACACAGTTGGAAAAATAGGACTGATGTTCTTCGCCAAACACACCAGAACTTTTAAAAATGTTACAAATTAATTTATCAAAATGTAACACACTCACATTTACTCCTCCCCACTTCCTTTAAGTAGATAAAGGAATTTATATTATGAATGTGGGACAAAAAAGGAAAAGAAAATTAGTGGATACCAAATCACCAAAGTGCGGGAAATATGCGTGATGCTCAAAAAATCCACGGGGAAGTAATCCCAGAAACCTCATTGCTCGTACAGCAATACTGATCAGAGGGACATATTGATTTTGTTCTTGATATGATTTATAAGAACTTTATTTAACATTTACTTCTGTTTTCGAGCCTTTTTTTGAACAAACTCCATGTATCTGTTTCGGTACATCGTGCCAGAAATCACCTTCTCACGGGATTTTGCTTTGAATGAAGTTTCTAATCATAGTCTACATCCGGGGTGTTTTGCTCCAGGTGGATTGCAGAAGAAGTGCAAATCCTACCTCTCAGCAAGTTCTCTGTTTGATTCTTGACTTCTCATTTCGCCCGTGATGCCACATTAGCAGCAAAACCGGAGAGCTATGCGCTTTGAACCAACTAGGTGTGAAAAACCTTTAACCAACGAGTCTGTTTGTAAATGTGCCAGGTGGTGGTGGGAACGAGAACACAGCGCACCCCACCTCTGCGCCACGCCAGAGGCAGAAACATGAGGCTTCGCTAAATGTCAACCATGACTTTTTTCCTTCATTTTTTAAAAAACAAAACACCAACTGACTAGGCAGCGTATGTTGTGGGGGACGTTTTTCTTGTGAGGAAAACAAAATTCAGACTATAGGATGGAGGAGACAGCGCTAAGGAGGACAAGTAAGCTTGTTGAACTCATTGCCAGCTTCCCTCCCTTTTTCACTTTCTCCCCCGTGCTCGTTGAAGAAAGATTAGCTGGTGCGCTGTAAAGGTCACAATAGTGAAGTCCGTTTTGGCAATGTCAGCCATGGGATTGGATTGGCCGGCCTTCAAAGGGAGGGATTACCATAGAGCCACGAGCTGAAAGTAACCCAGCGCTGACGGGCCAGATCGCAGCCAAATGACAAATTACAGCTGGTCTGGTTAGGTCTGTGGGCCAAGAGAAATAGTGCGTGCGTGCGTGTCTTGGTGCTGCAGCAGACAGATGAAAGCTCCTAGAAGCTGGCTGAGCTCTCGCTCCATTATACAGACGAGTGCCTCTATTCTCTCCCTGTCGCCACACGCACACGCACACACTCCCAGAGTTGAAGTCCACATGACTCCGCTGCCCTCTGTCTCCTCACGCCTCCAGGAGAAAGACATCAACGCACACACACACTTCTAATCTCTCACACGCAAGCAGGCGTGCCCTTCAAAGCCAAAGGAACTGGAGCAGATGAGACAAAGATGGACACGGTGGCTGTAAAGACACGAGCGGGCGTGCGAGTGTCTCCTGTGGCTGCAAGGTAACCCAACCTGTCCCTGTTTATTCCTATTCATCGCACTCCTGTCAGCAACACAGCTTGACCTTGGCTTTGTATTATGTACCTCGCAGAGAAAGTCATTAGGAGCTTTGAAGATGAATGTACAGCATCATCGGCGAGGGACTTGTGTGGCTCCGCGAGGACACAAAGGTGAGCTGAGGTAGCTTCTGCTAATTGTCACAGCTAATTTACACTAATTGTATTTATTTGCCTGCTGCCTGACCGTGGCTCATTGACTGCCGGCTTTACGGTTCAGCAGCAGTTGCGATCGGGTTCAGTTGTTGGTCAGAGCTGGCTTCCGCTTCCAGGTCTTTGGGGTCTCCCTTGTCAGTGTCTATCTAAGGGACACCAGAATGAGTAGCACTGTTAAAAAGTACTAAAAAGGGATCATACAGTTAGAAGCACTCACTACTGTTGCTTGACAGGACGGTCTATGTAATCGTTAGTTACTGTTACTGTCCTTTGCTCAATCCACAACCAGTCGCAGCAGATGGCCCCGCCCCTCCCTAAGCCTTTTCTGCAGGAGGTTTCTTCCTGTTAAAAGGGAGTTTTTCCTTCCCACTGTCGCCAACTGCTTGCTCACGGGGCTTGTCTGTGCTATTGCAGGGTCTTTATGCCTTAAAAAAGGCAATAAATAATTCAATTGTATTTTTCATTGTCCTAAATATACTAACAGGGTTCACTGTGGAGAAAATGGATAAATCGCAAAAAAATGCACTCATTGTTAGCTAAGAACAAAGTGCTTACATGCTTTTTTGCATGTAAAAAAAAAAAGAGATAATGGGCAAAAAAAAAGTGCGACAATTAGGAAGAATGGCAGTCAAGATGCTACACTTTGTCTTCTAAATGCACAAACTGTCTGGCTTAATTAGGATACGTAGGACAATCTCAAAGTAACACTCCCAGTAAAACACCCCCGACGGGAAAGCATACACAGTAATCCACAATAATACTCAAATTATCTCATTACAGTTCATTCATGTGGGATGTGCAGAATGCATTAGCTTACAAATAAAATGATTTGAACATTATTCTGGCTTTCCTGCTTCCCTGTAGGGAGTGTTTATTCTATAAAAATAAATTGTGCTTACACTTGTCAGCAGATATGCATGCTGAGTGGAGACTTACGCACGACTATGCAGAAAGGGAGATGTCTGGATAAAGGTCTTGCTAAGCATGAGATTCGTGTCTGTTGCATGCAGTGCACATCAATCTACACACATTAGACAAAAGATAAACTAAAGAAAAATCTACCTGCCTCTGAGAAGTCAGAGCATTGCAAAAAACACTGGATATTCTAATAGCCTAGGGTTCAGGCTGAAGGTTAAAGAGGAGTAACCCTAACTCTAACTTTACAGGGTTAAAGACAAGTATCTATGTTAAAATCTTAATTATTTCAGTCCAGTCAGCCAGCTCCCTAATTAGTTCAGTGTTGATATGTGGTTCTAGGCTGTGAGCTTGTCACTCCTAACAAAGAGACACCAAGCTCAGCAAAACAGGGATGACAGGGAATGGTGGTGGTGGTGGGTGGTGGGCACACTAATGAACTTCAGTCAGAGAACTCAAGTTAGAAAACATTCATTATACCAGCAGAGTATAGTTAGAGTTTGCAATCTAGGCTCTGAGCTCATCATACTCTACAAAATATGTTCTTTATAAACTGGGGAGTGATTTGTCAAGGCGGATGCTGAGGAGCAGTGATGCAGGGTTGGTACGGACATGTCATAGGTTTGGGTGGGACGTCATGAAGCTCACATGGGCGAATTTGTAGGATGTGTTTTGTATAATATATGAGAATAAAGCAGTAGCCTATACGTGGGCAGATCGATCCAATTATAGCGCAATAGGATCAATACTTAGATTTGTTTCTAGCCACTTAAGTTAAGTACAAAAATAGGTCAAAAATATACACTATGAAAATGTCTGAAGCTTTTTGTGTTGACTGTCACCTTGTTTTATTTACAGTGCTCCCTCGCTATATTGCAGTTCACCTTTTGCGGCCTTGCTGTTTCGTGGATTTTTTTTGTGCAGTTTTGCATGCTTTTTTCCCCCACAGCGCATTGTGTTCTGCATCCTGATTGGCTATAGACCATTGTCAATCAATCTTCTGTTGCGTCGAGCTTGTCAAATTTACTTAAATCTTCGATCGCTAGCAGTGTGACTCTGAAGTGCTCAAAAACTGTCTGAAATATTATTATATTACATTTGGCCTTGCCCTGTTTTTAGGAAAAAAAATGCTTCTGATGTGTTTCAGTTCATAAGAAGTGATTTTGTGGTTTTTCCTTGTGCAGTGCTTCAAGTGCACATCCACTTGTTTCTTTAAAGCCCTGCTCTGGTCACTTGTATATCCACGTTGGATTCTTTCCACTGTCTGAAAATGATAACCGTCTATCATGACTTTGATTTCTCGGGACAAGGATGAAGTTAAGTGCAAGTGATAGAGTGCATCAAGTAAGTTTGAACTCAGAGGCTGTTTTCATCCTCGGGTCTGATGCTGAGGAGGAATTCAAGCACTATAACCAGGGAATAAAGTGGAAAGTGGAACAATCTGGAATGGTATTCTGGCATTTTCATTTAATGAGCACTTTAATCTGATAGGCAGGTTAATGCATAACACTGAATGAGTGAACATGTCAGGTGCCGCAGCCTGGTGTTGCTTCCAGTGGGGGCATGGAGACACTTTCTCAGTAATAAGAAAATAATGATGTCCCGCGGTACGTTTACACCTTTAACACATCCCTTTCTCCTCATCCCTTCGGGGCGTTCATGGTGCAGATGTAAATAAAGTTGCAGTCCCACTAGCACTGCAGAAGGGGATTTAACATGACCAGAGTAAGTTTTTTGTTTTTATTTTTAAGTGGCATGTAATTTGAAATGCAGCTTGATAAATATCAAACACACAAGCTGTTTCTGCACAGTTTGTCAGAAAATGTATATCCAGTTAATGTGAAATGTAAAGAAAACTCTTAATGTGCAATGAGCGATTAGGAAATGACTGCTACAAAAAGCTAAGTACGTTAGCCAAATGAAATTTTATAAAATGGAAACTTAAATCTGACATGTAGTGGGAGAGTTTTAAAATCAGATATTGGATCATTACCTGATGGAATCCAACGTTTTTGTGACTTAAACCCCGTCGTCTGAATCTACAGATAGCAGTGAATACTAGAGTAAAAGCACAGGTCAGCTGATCACAGCCTGTGCACAAAGAAAGATCTCTTGGAGCTCACAAAATACATTATTGTGTGACTCGTGTCTAAGACATTCTTTTCCCCAAGCTGCACTGCTGCACCCAATCTTAGGGTTTCCCCACCTCCTGAATCCTACTTTAACCCCTGACCGCAACCCTTTTGAATGTAGAGAGAAGCAACAAGCAGGCTTCTCCTTTTGCTCCTGACCTGAGCTCCACCTTTGTGATGAAACTGCTGTTTCATCACTGCGCTGCAGCCTGAGAATATCAGCGAGCCTCAGTGTGAAGGCTGGGTCAGTTTAAAGATGAAGTTGGTGTTTGCCAAAGCAGAACCTGAATGCATCTCACACATCAGCATATTCAACTTTTCTACTGATACTATATGTTTTGCACTCAGGAAAATATTAGCAGTGGAATAAGAAGACATCTACAGATATCGTGACCAGAATATCTGTATTTTCAATCACAAAAATAAAGTGGTAAATGTAAGAGAGTGGGATGGCGATGCAGTGGATACAATTTTCCTTTTTGACAAAGTTTCTATTTAGGGTAGAGCTGGGCGATATGAGATTTTTTCATATCACGATATGTTTTTTTCATTTCAGTCGATAACGATATCTATCACGATATAAGCCAAATAACTATATTTGTAAGATTTAAATGTGCCGTTGCTCACAAGTAAAATGTGAAATAATCAGCAGCTTGTTTTTATTTAAATATTTATTTCCCATAATAAGTTCAACAGGGTAGATGTACTTAAGGAACATGAGACTTTTTCAGATAAATAAAGGCAAATATTGCAAACTACACAAAAGGCAGCCGCTAAAGCGTTTAAGTTTCAAAATAGAACAAACGAAACAGACTAAATTGTCAATTCCACTTAGAAACAAAATATTAATTCTAAAATAAATCTTAGTTTGTTTTACAGAAGAACAGACAAAACTGACTAACTTTTGTCAATATCAAATAAACTGAGAACTAAAAGGAAATTCTCAATCTCTCCTTGTTGTATAGCTTAGCTTTTCAAACAGTTTTAACAGTTACTTTAGTCTGACAAAAGCCGAATGACGAATTTTTGAAAACGGAGATTTTCCGTTTTCGTTTTAAAAAATAATCCCGTCCACACATAAAGGCAGAAATGAAGGAAAACGCTGCTATGAACATGCCAAAGCAGCAGGTGGCGCTAGATTCCTAACCGTGCAGAAATGTTGGCCAATCAGAAGTCTAGAAGCCTCGGTGGGAAAAAGTAAACAAAGCTGGGGCATAGAAGCAGAACCGAGTCGTATGTGTGGAGGACAGTAACTGTGTGTATATGTAAGCATTTAAACACTGCAGAGAGTAGAATTAACAGTAACAGTATTGTAGAAATTCATTTCACCGAAACAATAACGTGGCGCACAGTGTGACGCATGCACCAGTTTATTGTATTTCCAGACTTGCTTTCGGCACAATTTACAGTGCACGCTACTCTGTTTTTTGTCAGACTTGAAATAGCCGAAATACCTTCACACTACGGAACTTCTATGGCTCTTCCGTTCGACAATCTCTCCGGCATTGGAACCATCATCTGTTTTCTCTTCGGTCACGCTCGGTTGATTTTTCTAGTCGGCACACTCATTTCCTCCATTACCCGCTGGCTGCTTCCCAAACAAACACACGTGCGGCTTGGCACTTGTGCTGTACGTAACAAGTCACGCGACGTGACGCTGCGGCTGTGATTGGTTCGGCTCTGCGCTACTTAATTTGGATTGGCTGACCTTTTTTTTTTTTTTTTTGAGGACAAGAGCGGCGAGGTCTATCGCGATAGCTTAATTTCTCTATCGAGTAAAAGTTATATCGCGATACATATCGTTATCGTTCTATCGCCCAGCTCTAATTTAGGGCTGCTAATAGTTTCTTCCTGTTAGATGGGGAGTTTTTCCTTCACACTGTCACCAAGTGCTTGCTCATAGGGGTCGTC